AAAGTATATCATTCCCCAGTAAGTGAAGGTCTCACGACTCTAGAGATGGATGCCTCCTATCTGAGGAGCTGTGTTGGTCCAGCTCCTTCAAGATGGGATGTGGCGTAGAAGTGTGTCAGAGGAGATGTCTCTGCAAGGTTGCAAGAGAACTGGGAGAAGCTGGGAAAGCCACCAGATGACAAAGCCCAATTGACCCCAAGTGAAGGAGAGAAGGAGGGAGCAAGGCTAGAGGAAAGCATCAGCTAAAGTCACCATCGGAGGAGCCTACCTCCCGGGATTGGGCCTGTCCTGGTGTCCCTAAGAGGGTCACTGGCTGGAGAAGCCCCTGGTAGGCATGGCCTTGGCACCAATGCCAGGATGTGTTTTGGGGGGCAGCAGCTGGGACCCTCGGCCACTATGCTCCCTTCAGAGATGTGGAGGCCTTAGTCCGTGGCCACCCCCATGACACAGTAATACATGTATGGCAAAGGCAACATTTCTCAAATTATGTTCTGCAGAGCTCTGGACCCATAAATATCTGTTTGAGAATTAAAAGGGGGGTTCTGTGATCAAACAACTTTTGGAAACACTGCAGACCCTCTCTTCCTCATGGAGGATCACAATGCTTATTAGCGTAGTAAAAGTTCTAAGAGGTCCTGTAGTAAAGAAACTTGCTTAAATTTTTTAGTTTCACTCTTTTGCAGACTTATTTAGGCAAAGTCTCCCCCACCAACCTGAATTTTTTCTCTTTTAAACTTTTTTTTTTACCACACTGCAGAATAAACAGAGCATGCATCAAGAGAGGCTTTTTAAGATATATTTAACCATTTTTCTTTCAGTAAATGCATAGAAAATCTGTGTTTGGGGGTTGATTATCAATACAATCACATTTTGAAAGGATCTGTCCCCCTCTAGCCGCCCTCCCAGGTTGGCCAGCTACAGGGAGGACCAAGCACTGAGGCGGGGTGTTAGTCATTAGGCGGTAGGCAGGAGAAAATGTGGGGGCGGGATAGACACCCTCAGAACCCTGAAAATTACGACACGTGGGTATTTGCCCTTTTATTCTACTACTCAATGCCAAACAACTAATCTGGCAGAAAGTAGTCATCTAAAAGTAATTTTTGCACATTTTCCATTAAGAAGCAGTGCTATTTAAAAATTCTAATAGCTGTCATTTGTGACTATCACTATTACCGATTATTTTTTCTATGCTTTCCAATTTTTCTGTAATGAAATATTTTCAAATAAAAATTAGATTGATTGATAGATAATCTGAGAGCCCTGATACTTGAAGAAGCCATTTTAAGGGATAGGTTAAATGATCGTCATTCTAAAATTTTGAATCCCCATTTCTCTGTATCAAGTTAACTCCTTGAGAAATTCCTTTCTCTCTCTCTCTCTCTCTCTCTTGAATAAATAAATAAAATTCTTTAAAAAAAAAAAAAGAATAGAAAAGAAAAGAAGGGCAGCCCGGGTGGCTCAGCGGTTTAGTGCTGCCTTCAGCCCAGGGCCTGATCCTGGAGACCCGGGATGGAGTCCCGCGTCGGGCTCCCTGCATGGAGCCTGCTTCTCCCTCTGCCTGTCTCTGCCTCTCTCTCTCTCTCTCTCTCTCTCTCTCTCTCTCTCTCTCTCTTTCTCTCTCTGTCTCTCATGGATAAATAAATAAAATGCTTTAAAAAAAAAAAAAAAGAATAGATCCCTGAGAAATTCACCACGCTAGCAATTCATCATCTGGGAATGCTTGCAACCCTTCAATGAACTAAATTCAATGTTGTATATCCATCAATTGGCATCCAGTAAAGAGACACACCAGTAATCTGAACAAAGAACATTTACTACGAAGAATTACTAATTAGTAACAGGGGACTGACTACCCAAGGCAGTTGGACACAAGACCAGGACAGGTAGGGAGCAGTCTCTAGGCTAAAGCAGAGCATCCAGAAGCAACGCACTTGGAAGGTGCCTTCCCTCCAAAGGCTGAGATTCAAACCTTGTTGGAGACAGTGTGACTACAACCTACTGGATTGTGTGCTTTCCAGCCTCCCTGGTATAAAAACTTAGTAACAACAACAAAGGAGCCCCTGGGTGACTCAGTGGTTGAGCATCTGCCTTCAGCTCAGGTCATGATCTCAAGGTCCTGGAATCGAGTCTCGCGTTGGGCTCCCCACAAGGAGCCTGCTTCTCCTTCTGCTTGTGTCTCTAACTCTCTCTGTGTGTCTCTCATGAATAAATAAATAAAATCTTTTAAAAAGCCACAACAACAAAATGAGATCATGAGCATTAATTATCAGACCTAATCATGTGCTATCTCTGCACACTCCTGTCACCAAGCTTTCTCTGACTCTCGTACATAAAGTGTGAAACCCTGAGCCATCCTGGCCCTTCTTACCCTCCTTCCTGCTTTGCTTTTCTCCATAGAACATCTCTCCTACTACTCTACAACTTACGTGCTTATTCTGGTTTTGTCTATAGAAAGTAAGCTCCGTGGAGTTCGGGATGTTTGCCCACGTTGTTCACCCAGGACGGTGCTGGACACAAGCTAGGAGCTCTGGAAATACAGATGAATAGATGAATTGAATAAATGAGTAATGTGTATGTATAGGAGAATGAGACTTAAAGCTTCTTAGTTTCTTGGACAGAAATTGAGGTTGAGTTATAGTGATAAAGACGAACTCAGGGCAGTCCCGGGTGCCTCAGCGGTTTAGCGCCTCCTTCAGCCCAGGGCCTGATCCTGGAGACCCGGGATCGAGTCCCACATCGGGCTCCCTGCATGGAGCCTGCTTCTGCCTGTGTCTCTTTCTGCCTCTCTCTCTCTGTGTGTGTCTCTCATAAAAAAAAAAAAAATCTTAGAAAAAAAGGAGAAGAACTCAGACCCTCAAAGGGAAGATCGTGACCCACATGCTGAAGCCACAGAAGACAGTAAGGTTTCACAAACAGTGAGGATGCTATAATGGCTCCAGATCATAGAATGGTAATCAAACTTTCCTCTTGCCTCCACTTCAGACCTCCAAACCATTCCTTCGTATTGATTTAGAAGTTTCTAGAATCCCATGGCCTTGGAGAACTAACACATAATATAGTGATTATTGGCAACAAAACTGTATTATAAACATCAAACTTGCTGGCAGGATTAGGTCTTAACTGTTCCCACTACTAGAAGAAACAATAGTTACATGGTGGGACAGAGGTGTGAGCCAACCTGGGGATGGCGATCATTTTGCAATATAAACATAAACCCTGTACACCTCAAACTTACACAATGGTGTATGTTAATTATATCTCAATTAAAAAGGGGTGGGGAGAAGAACCCCATGGCCTGAGGCTGGATAAGCAGAGTGTTGGGAATCCAGCCAAAATAAAATAATACTGAAAGTGAAGACTGTTAATATCAGGAAGTTAGGGTGGTCCCAAACTTTCAGTGTTTTTCCTGGGGAACTTCAAATTTCACATAATTCTGTGACATCCTTGACGTCCTGCTTACTGGTGTTTTGCTCTATTTAACCATGTAGTGTGTGGGCGTATATCCATGAGGCTTTTCATGTTTCTGAGTTGAGTTGACTCCCCCTCCTTGCCCAGCACAGACCAGTGAGCAGCTGAGGATAAGACATGAGCATTATGGAGCCTTGATGGCTTACTCACTCGAGGTCCTGGGGAGGGAGAGGGGAGGTGGGGAGGGTGCTGGTGTGGCTCCAAATAGCCCAGCTGGAGGTAGAGCCTCAAGAGGGCGGTCCACAGCCTGGTCCCAGGACTGTGCTGCCATCAGTGGCAGTGACTCCCACCCACTCACAGAAGTTGGTGCAGGGGGTGGGGGTGGCGGCGGGAATGCGGGTGGGGGGTGGGGGTAGTCCTTGCTGGGAAGTGTGCAGAGCCCAGGTTCCCACCAATGCCAAGCCCTCCACGGGTACAGAGGAGGAACGTCATCTTTGAGTTAAATTTAATGCTCAACCGCATGTTCATCTGGGCCGTTTTATGTTTGTCTTGCCTTTCTTTTAATAGTTTGTTTCTATTTTCATCTTCACAGGTCCACACTCTGAGTTGAAGGCTACCTCAGACACATCTCCGGAATTCATGAACAGGATGTCCTTTAACCGACTAAATGAGTGCGAAACCGCTGTGTAGGGGGTACCCCAAATGAGGTCAGTCACAGGTCCAGGGAGTGCATCGGAAGAAGTTCACATGGACTTTCCAGCTGTTTTGTGTTCCTCTTCTTCATTTATCCTTCTTCCAAGCTGCCCCCCACCCCAGCCTCCCCCTCACCACCACCCACTGCATCCTCTCCTACAACCCTGAAATCTGGATTTCTCCACTTCCTTTCTCTCGTGCTCCCTCTCCTAACAGAGTCATGAGCTGGCGAGTTCCCCCACAGGCTCTGTCACCCAGACTTGATGCCCCCCACCAACCCCATGGAATTTCCTGGAATCTTCTCAGAGCAGGGTCAGTGCCTCACAGCTTGCCTAACTCCTGGCTTTCCTCACTGTTTTCTCCAAATCCCATGCAGCCACCGCCCACCTGCTCCTCACTGGTACTGAGCATCTCTGCTCCAGCCCCCTCCCCAAGTGACACCACTCTGTGGCTTCCTGGGTCCCCAGATCCTCTCTTGGGAAACCCACCCACACCCCTCCCCCCAGCCACAGCGCAGTGTCCCTTAACAGTGATGGGGAGAAGAGAAGCTCATGTCACTCACTGTGGTTCTCCCTGAGCCTTCTAGACGCCCTACTGGATGCAGGGAGTGGGCTTCTGCTGACACGAGGAGCCACTGTAGGGAGCTCCAGGCTCTGGGGTCTGGACACAGGGCTACCGCACAGGATGCTTCCTCCTTGGCTGCTGGCTGCCACCTACTCAGACATGCCCTGCTGTCATCCTAACTCATATCACTGGAGAGCAGTAGCAACTCAGTTCCCTTATCTGGAGCAGCCAGGAAGAGGCCTGTCACCAGGCCAGGGCTGAGGGTAGAGGGAGGGGGACGATCAAAGGCCGGGTCCTGGGGAAACCAGGGGGAGCAAGGGACTTCCTGCTTTCCTCAGTCACTTGAGAAACATTGTAGGGGTCCAGAGGAGCTTTCAAGTTGCTTTCTTTGGGTTATTCCCTGCCGACACTGAGAGCAGTGACTTGTGGTATAGAGCTCCCACGAGAGCAACAGTGGCTTCTCTTGCCCCTAAAGGTCAAGACCGGCTTCTCAGAAGAAAGGCGGTCTCTCAGCAGCCCCAGACTACTCCCACAGCTGCTTGGATGGTGGCTCAGGAGGCAGTGCCCTGTCCCCCTGGAACTCTGTCAAGTGGTAAGTCATCTGTGTATTTAACCATTAGAGTCCATGTTGATGCTTGGGATGGTTTCACTTTTGCAAATCTTTGTTTCTGTCCTTCGAGAGAAGAACACAGCCAGCCTGTCACAGGAAGCTATTTCACAGAGTGAGCAGACTTTTCGAACGCAGAAATTAGGACCGATACTGATTTCATGACACAGTACTTGGCTCTCTTCGATGGTGTGTTTCCTTAAATATTATCTTCGGATAGTCACGGCTTGTTTCCACCAGGAGAACTAAAGTTCTGTAAAGAAGTAGAATGCTTACTTTTTTTTTTTTAATCTGCCCTGTGGTGTTAGCACACTGCCCTAGTATGACGTGAGGGCATAACAAACAGGTCAATTATAGTAGCCCCTCTCAGCAGGTGCAGATGCCTCAGAGAAATGTTTACTTTCAGTCTTCCAAGATGTAGACCTATTCTGGGTAAAATGAAGTACCAGTAAAGGGAGAGGATGGCTGCATGGACACTAATCCAATTCTTTTTCCCCCTCCAGGACCACCCAGCCGTATGAAGAGGAAATAATCTTTGGCTTCTCCACAGGGCAGCCTGAAGATGGATAATTACGTGACAGCCCCAGAGGACGACTATGACGTCCTCATAGAGGATGATCTGAATAACGATGAAATAAAACTGTGCCCCCTTTACGAAACCAAGATCCTGTCAACCCGGGTGTTGCCGCAGCTCTACGCCACCGTGTTCCTGGCTGGTCTCCTGGGCAGTCTCTTGGTTGTGCTCATCCTGGTAAAACATAAAGGACTCAAGCACATGGGAAATATCTATTTCCTAAACTTGGCAGTTTCAAATTTGTGTTTCTTGCTTGCCCTGCCATTCTGGGCCTATGCTGCGATGCATGGGGAGGTTCTCGGCAACTCCATGTGTAAAATTCTAGTCGTACTTTACTCCATAGGCCTGTACAGTGAGGCTTTGTTCAATATCCTCCTGACTGTGCAAAGGTACCTAGTGTTTATCAACGTGAACTTTCCCTCGACCACGAGAGCAGTGCACTGGGGCATCAACTCGAGTGTTCTGGCATGGGTCTTAGCCACTCTGGTCATTTTGCCTGAATCCATGTTTTACAAACCTCAGATGGAAAGCCAGAAATACAAGTGTTCCATTAGCAGACCTCACTTCCTGCCGGCTGAAGAGACATCCTGGAAGTATTTTCTCACCTTAAAGATGAACATTTTGGGATTTCTTTTCCCACTGTGCGTTTTTGTATTTTGCTACGCGCGAATGAGAAGAATACTAAGGTCTGGAGAGAGGGGGAATGGCCTTCACCAGCTGGTTTTCGCCATAATGGCTGTCTTCCTTCTGATGTGGGGACCCTACAATATTGCACTTTTCCTGTCCACTTTCAAGGAATATTTCTCCCTGCATGACTGTAAGAGCAACTACAACCTGGACAAAAGCGTTCAGATCCTTAGAATTTTCGCGACCACCCACTGCTGCGTCAACCCCCTCCTCCACGTGTTCCTCGACACCATGTTCAGAAGACACCTTCGCCGCCTTTGCTGTGTGCATGACAGCAGTCTGCTCCAGTCCACTGAGGAATCTGCACGAGCTGCACCAAGGGAAGAACGTGACCATTCTACCAAAGTGTAAACTAGCTTCTGTCAAAGGCAGAATAAATATTGATTTTTGTATCGTTGCATTGTTTTGTGTAATCTTTTTACACACCTTTGTATATAAAAATAGGTTATGGGAAGAAAAGCGAGGTGGTGAACAAGCATTTTCCAAGCTCTGAGTCTGTCTCAAGTGTTGTGCGAGGCTCTTTGCAAACCTGAGCCCCTTTGCGCCTCAATACTTGACCATGGGTTTGGGTGGAATTTGTCTCATTCTGCTAAGGGGGATACTAAGGCTCAGACATTTGTCTAGGCTCACACAGCTAGAAAGTGGCAGGACTGGGACCCAAACATGAGTGCCATTCACTCCAGAGCCAACACACCAAACTTCCAAAAACTGGGCAAGGAAACTCAAAAATTAATATGTACTCTTAAAACCAATAAGACCACATTCCAAACTAGAAGCAACCTATTCATATAGAAGTAATTGTTCAGGTATATTTTCTTGCAGGTAATTGAAAGAACTGGCAGGCTGGAAGCTATGGGTAAAGAGGTAAAAGTGACGTGCTCTGTGGAATTTGCTAGGTCTCCGTGGCTACTTGCTACATGAATAGTCTGCATAAAATAACTCCAGGCAAGAATATTTTCAAAGGAATTGAAAAAAACACTAATTCAGTATAATCTGAAGTGGAATCTGCTAAGATGAGTTGTAACTGATGGGGGTTAAAATATGTGTTGAACAGGAAAAGGCTTAGTTGGGAAAATTTACAAAATTTGTGAAAATGGATAAGTCAATGGTTATTCATTATTGATACTGCGTGGAAAATTTTGGAATTTACGATGTGCATTAAACCGGTAGCGTCAACAATGAATTTTATGTGCTGCCACAGACTTAACCATCATTAGTTCTATGGATTTCTTTCAGAAATAAAAATTGAGGGGCACCTGGGTGGCTCAGCTGGTTGAGCGTCTGTCTTCGGTTCAGATCATGATCTCGGGGTCTTGGGATCAAGTCCCACATCTGGCTCCATGCTCAGTGAGGTGTCTGCTTCTCCTTCTCCCTTTGCCCTTCCTTTCTCTCTCTCTCTCTCTCTCTCTCTCTCTCTTCATAATAAATTTATTTTTTATTGGTGTTCAATTTGCCAACATACAGAATAACACCCAGTACTCATCCCGTCAAGCGCCCCCCTCAGTGCCCATCACCCATTCACCACCACCCCCCGCCCTCCTCCCCTTCCACCACCCCTAGTTCATTTCCCAGAGTTAGGAGTCTTTATGTTCTGTCTCCCTTTCTGATATTTCCTACCCATTTCTTCTCCCTTCTCTTCTATTCCTCTCTCTCTCTCTCTAATAAGTCATTAAAAAATCAATAAAATCTTTAAAAAAAAAGAAAAGTTTAATAACCTGATTCACTTTATGACAGCAATTTAATGGTGTAGCAGTGGCAGGGACTCCATGGAAATTGTCCTGAACAAGAAGGACTGTCAATATCTATTATATAGAACACTGAACAGCTTTGAAAATTAAATTCATATGTTTCTTAACAAACTCAACCTAACAAAAAAATAAATAAATAAATAAACTCAACCTAACATTACAGGGCAAAATAGCACTTACATATGAAACATATAGTGTAGTCGTCACTTGACAACTCTTGTTTGGATCACAAGAAATGTCAAGCCTCTTTATACACTTCCCATGAACTATGTCGAAAGTAGGAATGGACCTAAAGGGTATTCTGCTAAGTGAAATAAGTCAGAGTGAGACAAATGTCATAGGTACTCACTCACATGTAAAATCTAAAACCAAGCGAAGGAATAAACAAACCAAAATAAGAATCGGAACTATAAACTCAGAAGACAAACTGATGGCTGCAGAGGGGAAGGGGGAGGGGAATGGGTAAACTGGGTGAAGGGAAGTGGGAGACAGAGGCTTCTAGTTACGGAATGAATAAGTCAGGGGAATAGAAGGCACAGCATAGGGAACATAGTCAATGATATTGCAATAGTGTTTGGTGACAGATGGTAGCTCCACTTGTTGTGGGCACAGCATAAGGTGTAGAGAAGTTGAATCACTATGTTCTACACCTAAAACTGATATAACATTGTGTGTGAACTATACACAGATAAAAACATTTTAATAAATAAAAATTAAGAAGTAAAGGTCCAAAAAATGTATACCCTACATTAAAACTGTGCTGCTCCCATGGCCTCTGGGTAGCTCAGTTGGTTGAATGTCTGACTCTTGGTCTCATCTCAGGTTTTGATCTTAGGACTGTGGGTTTGGGCCCCATATTGGGGTAAATAACTCTACGGCTGGATAATACTTTCACTGTTTTTTTTTTTTTAAGTAGGCTCCATGCCCAGCGCAGAGCCTAGTGTGGGGCCTGAACTCATAACCCTAAGATCAAGACCTGAGCTGAGATAGAGAGTCAGATGCATAACCTACTGCACCACCAAGGCACCCCAGCTGGATTTTTTTTTTAAGTTAAGTAGCAGGAGTGCCTGGGTGGCTCAGTTGCTTGAGTGTCTGCCTTTGGCTTGGGTCATCGTCTCGGGGTCCTGGGATTGAGCCCCATGTCAGATTCTCTGTTCGGCAGGGAGTCTGCTTCTCTCTCTCTCTCTCTCTCTCTCTCTCTCTCTCTCTCTCTCTCTCTCTCTCTCTCCCATTCCCCCTACTTGTGCTCTCTGCTCTCTCAAATGAATAAAATATTTTTTTTTAAATGTTAAGTTGCAGAAATGAGATCTCTGCTCTTATACAAACATATCAAACATGTTTTCTGGGGTGCCTGGGTGGCATTGTCAGTTAAGCACATGACCTGGTTTTGGCTCAGGTCATGATATCAGAGGCATGAGATGGAGTCTCCTTGGGATTCTCTCTCTCCTCTCCTTCTGCCCCTCCTGCTTGTGTTCTCTCTCTCTCTCTCTCTCTCTCTCTCTCTCTCTCTCTCTCTCAAAGTAAATAAGTCTTAAAAAAATAAAAACATATTTTCTGAACTTGGTGATTTTCAGACCTTGACACAAAAAGAGATTTCCATATTTTTAAATCAATTTGTGCAACTGGAGAGCTTCCATCTTATCTCCAGTTGGAGGTGGTCTGAAATCTAATGGCATGTCATGCTAGAAGGTAAACATCAGGTGAAGAATCTAATAGAATTCTAGAAATGCCTTCTCAGTGATAAATATGCACTATGTATATGCTAGCAGACTGGTATCAGAGTTTGGCAGCACCTGTGTGAAAAGACATTTTCAAAGACAAATCATGTAAAATTTCTCTGTGGATCAGCTTTATGGGATGAACTTTTGCAATCCACTTTAATAATAGGGAATATCAGTTTTGAACCTCAATTAAACAAAAGTTACCCCCCTGATTTCCACTCTTCTCATTAGTAGACCTGTATCACACAAAAGAAACTACTGCAATTATGAGTTGATACACATACCATGCCACCCCAACCCACAGCTTCCACCTTACTTCCTCCATTCCGAATTTCTTTCCTCCTCCTTTCCTTCATGGTAAACTCTAGGTCCCAAAAACATTAACACATTTACTCATTTTCTCAATCACACATATACACAACAGTCTCCAGGGTTGCTACACTCATAGTGCTTAGAATCATGGAAAGACAGATATAAGAAGGGAGGAGCACAAGTAGGGGGAGTGGCAAAGAGAGAGAGAGAGAGAGAAGCAGACTCCCTGCTGAGCAGAGAATCTGACATGGGGCTCAATCCCAGGACCCCGAGACGATGACCCAAGCCAAAGGCAGACACTCAAACCAGCCCTAAAGATGTAGCCTGGAGTGGGAGAGATGAAGCTGTCACTGGCCCTGGGAGAGTGATTGATGTTATGAGATTTATCGGTAGTCTTCCTGGAGGGTGTCTGAGCTCAGAAGTGAGTGATTCCCCCACAGGAATCCTGCACCTATTCCATCTTCTCTTTCTATGGAGTCTATGCAGGTGGAGTGCAGGTGGAGTCCTGACTATGACACATCAAGGAGGGACACACTGAGCCTGAAATCCAGCCTATGTACATGGCTGAGTGGGCCGAGCTCCCTGGCGGGGGCTGGGCACACTGTGGAAAAGGGGTACCTTTCCTGGACTTCGTACAGAGGCCCTGTATGGACAGCTCTCTGCTCAGGCACCATGAAATGCTCTGCTGCCACTGTTCTAATGCACTTTCCCTACCATCACACTGTCCCCTGTCCTGTGCGTGGGCAGACGTTCATGGGAATCATTCTGCCACCAGGACAAACAGGAAAGGGAGTTGTCTCCCTCTGAGACCAAGCTCAGGGGCAGAAGGAATTCAAGGAAGTAAGGCAGGGACAGCCCCAAGTCAGTGCAGGACTGGAAGGTCTTGCCAGAGGGTGGAGAAGCAGAGAAGCAGACACAGGTGAAGACCATGCAGAATGCAAGGTCGAGAGCTTTCCCTGGAAGCCTGTGAGAAGCTAGGGCTTGGAGGGAGTGAAAGGAAGGACGCCAAACTACGCCCTCACTCCATTCAGTGTGAAAAGAATGTGGGAGCCAAAGGTCGTGTGGCAGCCCAGGGCTTGCGCTACACAGAATGCACTTCCTGTGGGAGGAGAAAGAAGCATACGGGCAGTTACAGGACTGGGCAACACATTTCCCACTTCTGCAAGAATTCATGAGTACAAAGGTCTGAGATGGTTTACCACAGATATAGTTTCGGGGTTGGTTTGTCCCCAAAGATATGAGACACACAGAAAGAGGCATATTTCTCTAGTAGCTAAGACAAAATCCACAAACTGGTTCCTTCTCATCCCTGGAAGCCTTGACCATCATCTCAGCCAAGCTGAAGCAGAGGAGATGTGCTATTTCTTCTTTTCCTCCATCTTGTCCCTGCCTTACCCCAGATTCTCCATACCCTCTATCTCTCTAGGGGTGATGCTGTTCTTTAAAACTCAAATAGCAGGCTGTGGTACCAGTTTCCTGCTCTGCAGAGGGCTCGGGGTCCTCCTCAGCATTCCCACGGCCTCCCAGGGCCTCACCTGCTCACCACCTGTCACTCACATCCTTCTGCTGC